TTAGTACGCCACTGCACCCCTGTACCCCATTAGAATGTGCACACCAGCAAATCAAGTGCGAAACCGCAAGGGAAGTAATTAATTAATGCTTCCCCTCGGTGGCTGCCATTTTGTGTAACCAAATACACGTGGTCGACAAAAGAATGGCAGCCATTTTGTCTCCCAAACATGGGCAGCGGTACTTGGTCGTTGAGTGCCTGGAACCCTTTTCGGCTAGGTGCTCGCACGATCCCTGGTAAAGCTTATAACGCTGCACGTCCTACATTCCTACCAACCATGCGAACGATGTTCGGGAAATAGGAACTACTGATTAGGGGGAGCATTCTGCTGAAATCAGGAGAATCCCTTGTACGGTGTTTGCACAGGAACTCCTGAACAGAGACCGGCTGGGGCCCCTATTTCCCTGGAACTATTTTGGGACATCACCTCATGGCCGGCCGGTCAAAACTTTACCCTGGTGGCGATCCAATTCTACCAAACAAATCTGAGTGATATTTGGCCAAGTTGGACACTCAGACCAGAGTTATCCAGGGATATAACTCTTGTTGGGTTCCTGGTTATATTGGGGGTACTTTTGGGGGATTGTATATATTCTATATATTTTCCTGTAGCTAAGAGATAATTGAGTTATAGTTTCCTCACTCAATTATCTCTCAAACACAGAGGCTCTTGGGAGAAAAAAACATGTAATTTTGTATTGGAGACCCCATGCTAGGGATCAGTGCTTAAAAGGCGTGTGTGGCCAAATAAAAATCAGTTGACTCCCAGAACTATGTATTTTCTAGTTACTGGGGGAGTGTATGCTTGATTATTCATTGGTTCCAGTCTGGCTGAGAGGAGAAAATTCCATAAACCAGTTGGATTACCTGGAGTCCACTACAAGAATAGTGGGCTTAAAAGAAGGAATGGCATATATAAAGATATTGCAGTGTATCTATAAAAGTTATGTATCAGTTTTAGATCACCTCCAGTGCTAGAGTTGTACATATTCAGTTTATTGTGTTGACAATAACCAGTGTATTGTTTAGTGATACCTACTACATTGCTGCCACGTTGACTTGCCCTGGTGTGGAATGTTAATGCTGATTTGAAAATACATTGGTTGCAAAGTCCTTTAATATTAGAAACACTTTCACATTAGTTTAGCCAGATTAAAGAAGCATTTTAGAAAATGTCAACTTTTTAGTGGGACCTTTCCATTCTAATACAACTAAACCTCCATATGGTGCTCCATGTAGAATTTATTCTGTATTCCTCTCTCTCTAACATTTACACCAATGGAGTTTTGTAACCAGACGAGTTGGACACACAGAAATAGAGGGATTGAGTGCCCTGCTCAATGAGTTTATATGCTAGAGGGAGAGTGGTATATTGACACAAAAGGTTATGGTAGGGTAGAAAAGTAGGTTGCTAGGATAGTATAGTTTATCATATATTTGGTTTAAATTTAAATATAAACATGTATTCCTGACACTATAGTGTTAAAACCACCATTTAGAAGCCCCACCCTCCTGTTTCCCTTCCTAAATATAGTAAAATCTTATTTTTTTCAAGTCTGCAGCTGCTGGATCTACTCCTGATCTGCTTGCTTGTCTGACATTATCAGATGTGATTCTCTGAGCCAATCACAATGCTTCCCCATAGGATTGGTTAAGACTGTCAAGAAGTCAGATCAGTGGCAGAGCCAACACAAGCAAAACACAGCCCTGACCAATCAGCATCTCCTCAAAAGTTCAGTGTCTGCATGCAGAGGGAGGAGACACTGAATGTCAGTCACACTGTGCAGCACTGCTCCAGGAAGCACCTCTAGTAGTTATCTGAGGAGTTAACACCGGAGGTAACCCTAGGCTGTAATGTAAATACTGCATTTTCTCTGAAAAGACAGTGTTTACTGCAGAAGGCCTGAAGATAATTATTATACTCACCAGACCAAATACAATAAGCTGTAGTTGTTCTGGTGACTATACCGTAGTGTCCCTTCAAGTGATAGGAGTAACATAATAAAAATGTGTACTGCACACTCAGTCCACTAGAGGTCAGAATTTCCCATTAAGATTCTTCTTTTCAAGTCTTATTTTTGACACGGTATTAATTAGCAGTGCAAAAGTGTATGGACTGCATTATTGTTCTATAATACACAGTTCGCATGTATATATCTTTTATACTACATGATCTATTTTATCATGATTTAAAATATTTTGTTTAAAATTGTGTTGAAATTGTTTAATATGCCATTATTATTATTAATTTATTATTTATATAGCTCCATCAGATTCCGTAGTGCAGTACAATGGGTGGTCTAACAGACATGTAATTGCAACCAGACAACTGGACGTACAGGAACAGAGGGGTTAAGGGCTCTGCTCAATGAGCTTACGTGCTAGAGGGAGTGGGGTATAGTGACACAAAGGGGTACGAAGTAGGTTGTTAGAAAAGTATTCACTGAGGGCTTAGTAGGTCATTTTTGACCATTCCACAGACACACAGACACACATGCACAAACACAGGGAAAACCAGACACAAAACACACATTTGCTTTAACTCCCTTTCAAGCTACAATTATGACTCCACTGCTACCACTAATTATGTTTCTCTCTCCTTTCTGATTTTTGGTTAGAGATACAGGGGAGAGTGAGACACTGTGTTTTTCTCTCTTCCAGCCCCCGGTATATGAGGTGCAGGAGAGGAACAGCAATGATGGCAGCTGCAATACACAGGACTGTGACTTCCATCAACCTCAGGCAGCCCAGGATATGTATGTTTAATCACAGACTGTGGGCCAGTGATTCATTGTATCACATCACATTGTGCAGTGCATGCTTTTAAAATAGAGAGCAAAAAACGGGTCGCAAGAGTATTCTGAGAACGGAGAGCAGCTGAAATAGCCTGCCCTTCGGTGGGTCCCCGCTCAGAACTCAAGCTGGTTTTAGCTCATCTTGTGCCATTACAGAGAGAACATATCTGAAGCATATCAGACTGGTCCCACCCATACGGGCAGTCCAGATCCGAAATGCCAGCAAGTTCTCTCTGCACGAGAGATACAGCAACCCCAGACAATCGTTTCAGCCTTGTTAGGCATCATCAGTGAGGCATAGCTGATATCTCTCTAGGCACCGTGAGCAAGGGGTCCACGTCTGGATTACCCTTTAAAAAAAAAAAAAAAGATGAGCAAAAATCAGCTTGAGAACTGAGCGGGGACCGACCGAAGGGCAGGCTATTTCAGCTGCTGCCCGTTCTCAGTATTCTCTTGCGACCCATTTTTGCTTTTAAAATAGGACTTAGCCGTTACAATTACAAGCTGATCAGTGACGGAGCTAAAGTAGAGAGGGCCCAGGTGCAAGATTTTTATTTGAGCCCCCTATCAAAAGGATGGAAAAAAAATGTAGATTCCTGTCTGTCATACAACTCCCACAATGCTTTGCCAGCTGGGGATCTACAATCTGCCCATCATTGCAGGGTTGTACTTGGCACTGATTAGTGTTTGTATGTTTTAATGAAAGCATGGTTCTGCATGGAGTATGTGTGTGTGAATGTAGAGGTGTATCTGTGTGTAGTGTTGTGTGTTTTTATGTAATGTTGCCATTTGAAAGTAATGTTTTACTTGTGTGTAGTGTTTGCCTTTAAATGTACGGGTGTATGTAGTGTTGATGTTTGAATGCACGGCTGTATTTGTGTGCAGTGGTGGAGTTTGAATGCTGAGATGTATACACATATACACTGATACACACACTGATACACATAAACACACACATGTACAGACACACACTGACAAATCCAGATACACAGATACACACACACACACAGGCATGCTTGCAGATACACAGATACACACAACGACACACATACAGATATAGAGGTATAGACATGCAGATACACACAGATACAAATACACAGACACAAACTGACACACATGCAGATACACAGGTGAACTAAAACAGATACAAATACGCAGACAAATACTGACACACATGCATATACAAAGACTCTCACAATAACACATGTGCAGATGCACAGACACCAAGATACATAAAATGACACTCATACAGATACAAACACTGATACACATAAAGATGCACACAGATACAGACACATAACACACACACAGATAACACACATATATACACAGATAACACATGCACACAGTTAAAATATACACACACATAACACATACAAAACAAAACACACACAGACACACACACAGATAATACACACATATAACAAATACAAAAGATAACACACACACACACACACAGACATATACACTCAAAGACTACATTACATATTTTTAGTGACCCCCTGCTTCCATACTTTTTGGTATGCTTCCCTTGGACCCAGTAGTGTATAGCTAAGTGTGTTTGGAGTCTGGGCCAGGCTCTCAGACTCCCTCCTCTCTGGTCTAGCCCTCCCCTGTTTCCCGCTCCTGCACGGCTTGATGGTAATTTGAGAGGAAGTGACTTGTGCTCACTTTCTCCCACTCCCAGCACCATGGCTTCTCACAGACAAGGGGGTTGGTCATGCAGCTAAAGGACTGTGGCGCCTGACCGAGACCAGGGTCGAAGATGTCCATCGGGTGGCCCTAAATGCATGAACCACTCGATGTGCCCCATGAGCTGGCTACACCAACTGTAGTTCCACCACTGAAGCTGGTAATGTAATATGTATGAATACAAACCTCCCAATTGTGCTGAATTCATGGAACTATCCCCAGAGAGCTCAGTGTCGGAGAATCATTAGACGTTTTCACACTGGAAGCACTAAGATCATGCAGAGACATAGCTGCAGTTGTGCTCTGTGCTTGGTCTGCCAAACATGGTGCCCACAACCTGATGGCAGTCACTCTGGCACACATTCATGGCAGGCTGATATTCTTATTCTTAAAATGGGCTTGCACCCTTTCCAGATGGGTCAAGCCCTTTGTGTGGTGCCAATGATGTGGCTCGCCTTATTGGTCCGCCCCCTGTTGGCTTACTTTGTGGGATGCCAACATTGGGGGCATGTGTACAGTGAGGGGGAAAAGTATTTGATCCCCTGCTGATTCTGAACGTTTGTTTGAAGTTATAAATTCAATTGCATGTCAATGAGTGAAATAAGTATTTGATCCCCTATCATTCAGGAAGATTTCTGGCTCCCAGGTGTCTTTTACACAGGTAACGAGCTGAGATTAGGAGCACTCTCTAAAAGTGTTGTGGTCAGATGAGACCAAAATCAAGCTTTTTGGCATCAACTCAACTCACCATGTTTGGAAGAGGAGGAATGCTGCCTATGACCACAAGAACACCATCCCCACCATCAAACATGGAAGTGGAAACATTATGCTTGAGTTTTTTTTCTGCCAATGGAACAGGACAACTGCACCACATCAAAGGGACAATGGATGGGCCATGTACCGTCAAATCTTGGGTGAGAACCTCCTTCGCTCAGCCAGGGCATTGAAAATGGGACGTGGATGGGTAATCCAGCATGACAATGACCGAAAACACACAGCCAAGGCAACAAAGGAGTGGCTCAAGAAAAAGCACATTAAGGTCCTGGAGTGACCTAGCCAGTCTCCAGATCTTAATCCCATTGAAAAACTGTGGAGGGAGCTAAAAGTTTGAGTTGCCAAATGTCAGCCACGAAAAACTTTAGTGACTTGGAGAGGATCTGCAAAGAGGAGTGGGACAGAAATCCCTCCTGAGATGTGTGCAAACCTGGTGGCCACCAAACTGTAGAATTGTGTTGTTGTTGCTCAGCATCACTGCGACACACACACATTCATATACACACACACACACACACACACACACGCATACTTGATTTGTTTTAAAATGTATTTTTAATTTTTGCAATGAGAGCTACCGGGCTTAACTTTTCCTGGGGGAGAGCGGAGTGTAGCTTCATTCCTGGGGTCCTTTCAGAGTTGCTGTGATCATTCTGTGCACTGTGTGCCATACACCTCAATATTGATGCCAGGTCTGGGATGATATCATATCCCGGTGACCAGCATCAGCACAGAGTGCACCCGGGAGCCCAGCAAATCCTTTGACACCCGCTCCACCATATGCTTCTTTTGCCAACCTGCATGAATCTCTTGGACATTTAACAAAAATCTGGGATGTGAAAAAGAACATTATTTTAATGTTTTTACCCAACCATTTCCCCCTCTTCCTTACTATTGTCTCTTCTCCCTCTTTTTTCTAACTCTTATTTCTCGCTTAAAGCGGCGCTGAGTTTATTGAGCATCATGGTATCGTGACAGCAAGCTGTGGCCACCTATCAGTACAACCATTTCATATTCTGACTGCCCTGTATTGCACAGTTTAAGAAAAAAATTATATTTAATTAACTATAAATTAAAATAAGAAATGAGACTGAACATATTTAAAAAATTACAGATTTATTAATCAAACAAACAAGTACAGTTTGAGAAATCGTGAATCACAGGTTGAACTTGGAACATATATGTTTATATTGCACTGTAGTTCATGAATCCCACTCATGTGCATATTAAACCAGACCTTTGTTATGACATATCCCACGCAAAGCAACTTAGGACTTTATTTTTAGTAAGAAATCAGTAATTTACCTAGTCATTTATTTTGTTAAACTACTAGAATTTTTTTTTTTTATAATGCTTCCCCAGCCCTGGTAAATAAAGCAACGTTTAGAAAGGCTTAGAAGTTCTGGGGCAAGATCCTAATAATGCTAAATTCTACAACAGTACATCACAGTTGGACCATCAGAGTGACAGGCCTCCCAACATTCTTGATTTGGCAAGACAGTTCAGATTTTATGGTCCTGTGCTACAGTCTTGACTTTGTTCCCTAGTGTCCTGCTTTTGGGGACACCAGGAAACTGTCCTAAAAGTGTAAAGTGAATGCATCATATCACACGTGCTTGTGCTACACTTAGGGCAATAGGTTTTCCACCCTTGTTGGCTTGGCCTGCTTGATTGACAGGCAGCTTGGCTGACCTGCCAATCCTTTCAGGCAGAGTCTGCTTTGGGTGTCCCACTTCACAGGACGCCAGTGTTGAGTGATATGGAGACAACCCCCAGAGAAACTGAAATAAACTGAAATATTTGTTAAATAATCTACAAAAAAAGGAAAAAAACTGATGATTTCACTGCGTGAAACAGATATAAACTCAACTCATTTCTAAAGAAACTGACATTCAAATGCAATCTGTTCAAAAACGATTTCACTCTAGTTAAATTAAGAAAAGTAAATATAGATGTTCATTGCAGTGTCACTTTAACTGTACTTGTTTGTTGAAGCCTTTCCTGTAATTCTATAAATAAAATAGATTTATTTGAACCTTGGAAAAAAAATATACATATTTATTATACAAAACAACTTTACACACAAGCTACAATACAAAATCGAGAAATAATAATGTAAAACAGGTATAAATAAAGGTGAGACAGTGAGCAGCAGAGAGCAAGGACCTTAAGAGGACACAGTTTGTAAAGTAGTAGTTGGATTCCGCGCAGTTCAGTCTTACTCATGTCTTTTAACCCTTTGCAGTTTACGATCGGGCTTTATCACAGAGCAAAGAGCTTGCGGAGAGACTAGAGATTGGAGCTACCGTGTTTCTTTTAAAGGCATATCTGAAGATTTAGTGTCATCCTTCAGTCCCCTCTCGAGAAGAGCCGCGGGTTCACGTTAGACAACAAAAGTTGCAGCCTTTCTTCTTACAGCAGTTACAGCAGATGGTGCAGATAGAAAGATGTGAATGACGTTTTGTCCTAAGAAGGGGCTCCTGATAAAAGAGAAGAAAGAAGCAAGTTTAATATTGTCCCAACTTTCATCGGCCCAGGGTTTGGTAACAGGATATACCATGTAATCTATATATGCATTGCCCTTCTTCCTCATTTCATACACACTAAAAGTTAATTGAGAAGGGAGAGGGGAGTCATTCCGTAAACCAGAGAATTGTGGAGAACTGACATGAGATTTGCGAAATGTAGGCCAGAATAGCTTAGCGCCTTGCTCTGCCTTCGTGACTGTGATGATCTGATTTGACGTTCTCAGCCAATCCAATGCTTTCCTATAGGAAGGCTTTGGGAGGCTATTGCGCATGTGCGGCAAAACGCCATGCTGTGCCAATCAGCATCTCCTCATAGAGATGAATTAAATCAATGGATCTATGTGGGGAGCATTCAGGAACTTCATGCAAAGCACACTGTCCAGCAATGGGCTAGGAAGCACCTCTAGTGGCTACCTGAGTAACTGCAAACACAAAAAAGTCCATCTTAGGCCATTAGAAATATTGGCATGTATCCATAAATGTGCGTAAGAAGGTCATACATTTTAAAATACTCTGAATAGCTCTATCTCATAGTCGTCACTTAGAAAATGGTTTATTTCCTTAAATCATTAGAAGTTAGAGAAGTATGTCAAAATTGGAAGCAATCTTCAGACATGCATTGTAATTTGAGACAATTATATTTCCAGATCGGATGTGGACTTACCATAATATTTGATTCTGACCATTCTGGGTCGGATACTTGGTCTGCATCATTTATCATTTCATTCTGTGTAATGAAAAAGAGAATTACTGTTAACCTATGTTAATTTATAAAACGAGCTGACAGTCTATCAAATATTAGAAGACAATACTCTGTTACTAGTAACATCGCCATTCTATGATAAAAATCTAAAAACATTGAGAAAAAGGTCACATGAACTGAATAAACAGTATTGCACATTGTCCATCTACTGTTGAGCACCACAGAGCTTTTAGGTAAAAAACAAAAAACTACTAGCTCTTTGTGGTTTTATATATTTATATTTATTATCTAACAGGTCTGATGTAGTAGGTATTTAGTTCTGAAGAGTTACAGAAAAAGGAACTGGTGAGGTAAAGGAAGATGGTGAATAGATTAATTTTGGGAGTTTGTGAAAAGGGGAGATAGGGGTAGCTGATAAGACAAAAGATAATGACGTATTAAAGACAGACAAGGATTAAGAAATTACAGTAATTAAAAAGAAATCGATAAAGACTTTTGCCATGAATAAACCAATGTGCAGATTGATTTTTGATGGTGACTTAACCCCTTAAGGACCAAGCTTCTGGAATAAAAGGGAATCATGACATGTCGCACATGTCATGTGTCCTTAAGGGGTTAAATAGTATCGTACAACAAAATTATCACAAGCAAATTGGTTTTGAAAATTAAAATCTCTTTAAGCCCTCAAATTTCACGGCATGGTCTGACATTAAAATGCATAATATATTTATATATATACGTACCTTTACCAGGGAAGCACTGTGGACCTTATTGTAGAGCACGGATAGAAGAAACAGAACACAGAGGGCAAGTGTCTTCATTTTCATGGAGTCTCTGAGATGGTCGTTAAGATGGTCTTTAAGAATTTTTTTGGGCTATCAGGCTATCAGGCTCGCTCAGTCGGTGAGAACTGATTCTATCTGTCCTGCTGTAGGAGAGCTCTATTTATGGGCCTTCCCCAGCCATGGAGTCATACACAGAAGGTCATGTTCCTGATAGCTCTGTGTTATCTGTCCTTATCTCTCCACTGATTATCTGTTATGTTTACATATTATTTTTTTTTACAGGCAATCCTAGTTACAAATCTGTTCTCCTGAAATCTAGATGTGGAATATGTTTTGGAATTTTAAAATGGTCGAAATGATATGCGTAATATGTTACTTGAGAACAGGCTGATCCAACTCTTTCCATTACATCAGTTTTTAATTGCTTTTACGCTTTGACGCTCTTCAAATCTTCATTGCCTGCTGGGATCAGGAAGTGGCTAAGAATTTGTAATGGGAGCCCGGTTTTCCTCTCATAAACTCCTGCCTGTTGGGTTTATGCTAGATAGGTAGTTTCAATCATGAAAAGACATGAATGAAATTGCTTGACCAGCTATTATCTTCTTTTTCCATCAATGAGACTACTTGCTGCCACAGTTTCTCAAGCCGCCCTTTTTCCCTTTTGTTTTTAGTGAGACTGTCTCTGTTTTGGGGTCCTGTCCTGCTGTTCTGATTTAATTCCCTGGTGTCCTGCATCTGGGGATAGTAGCAACCTGTCCAGGTACTTGATTAGACTTGCCCGTACTGTGCAGCAGGCACTAGGACCATACAGAGAGCTTTTTGGCAGGAGCTCTCTACACCGTTCTGTATGTTGGGGCCAAGCCAGGAAGCTGTCTGTCAGTCTGGCATGCATGATGCCAGCCTAACATGCCTCTTCTAGGGGGCAGATACACCCAATTCCCAGGCAGGTCCACCCATTTTGGGTGTCATCGGAGTTGCAGTACGGGCAATGTCCCCTTGAAGGTCCATTCTGATTTCATACTTCTCAATGTGTGAGGTATGCTTTCTCTTGACTGCTGTGAAGGTTATCTCAATGAATTTTATGATAGATACTGTACAAGTCACCATAATATAAGTGCATGCAGAATAAAATCGTGTGCAGTCAGGGCTATCATCGATTCCTCTAAGACATAATAAGTCGGATCACATGAGACAGAGAGCCTCTTGTCTAGCACCATAACTGTGCGTTCCTTGTATAACCAGACAGGTGGTTGCTTGAAGTATCCCTTTAAATGGAAACGGCTACTTCTCTGGATTTTACACCATTGAAAACCACCTATACGTTGCTCATGAGATGCTCCATTTTCTTTTAAACAAATATTAAATATTTAGCAAATTACATCATAATCTAGCTCAGACAAGGCACAACCAGGGCAAGCAATACAAATGATGAGAAATAGAAACATTGTTTCATTCAGAGATGAGAAAAATTAAACAATGTTTCTCTGTAAGCTTTCTCCATAATGACTGCCAGGTGCAAGGACAGAGCTGATCACAATGTCTGGCAGGGAGCTAAATTGAGGAGTCCAATTGCAGGATAAAGAAGTGTGGATTTCTAAATTTAATTTTATGTTCACCTCTCACATTTTATGAAAAAACTTAGGAAGGGATAGTTTCTATTTAACGTCTGATCACAAAGCTGTTCCTCAAAAAAACAAAAACAAAAATAACAGATACAAGACATTATTGGCAATAGTTAGTGTTAATGTCTTTTTAATTTATTAGTTACTTACTTTACTAGCAACTAATATTATAGGTCTTTTAGCTTACTATAGTAAATATGTTCATAGTAAACTATTACCCAGTGGCAGAACTAAAGTTGAGAGGGCCCTGGTGCAAGAAATTTTTGCACATGCACACAGACAACACATGCACATAGTTAAGACACACACGAACACACACACACACACACATTACATATTTATAGCCAAACCCCTACTTCCATATCTTTTTGGTGCAGGAGTGGCTCCCCTAGAGTCCATTGGCATCTGAGTGTGATAGGAGCCCGAGCTAGGCTTTCCCTCCTCTGGTCCTGGCTCTCAGAGTCCCTTCTCTCTGGTCCTCCCCGGTTTCCCTCTCCATGCGGCTTGTTGGTAAGCTGGGAGGAAGCGACTTCTACTCACTTCCTCCAGTAACCGCGGCTTCACACAGACCAGGAGACCCGGTTGCGCTTTTCACCCCTTAAGGACGTATGACATATGTGACATGTCATGATTCCCTTTTATTCCAGAAGTTTTGTCCTTAAGGGGTTAAAGGGCTGCAGTGCCTGACCGGCCCCTTGATCAAATATGTCCATCAGGTGACCCAAAGTGCATGGGCCACCTGATGGGCCCCCTGAGCTGGCGCTAATTCTGCCACTGCTCTTACACCTTTATTGTGGTTTCTGCATCGGTTAACAGACATTATACATAACATTGATGCAAGAATATGCAAAATGAGTTACTGATCACTAAGAGGAAGCGAGTTGCAAGCTGGGAAATAGTATTTAACACCTGCAAAAGTAAGGTAAATGCAATCGCTATAAAAAATCGCTGAGCCATTTAAAAAACGTTAGCTTAATCTAAAAATTGCTTGAATACAATCCTTAGCTATTGCCACAGTATTTGCTTCTTAGAGAGCAGCAAGTAGGGATGTGCAAATTGGTTTGATTCGCAAATTCGGGTAAGTAAAAAAAATTGTCTGCTTCAGCAATTAGGGACTTTGGCAATTCAGTACTTCGGGCATTCGTTAGCATCCGAATGTCCGTATTTCACAAAATTCGTCCGAATGTACATTCGGAACGAAACAAATTGCACATGTCTAGCAGCAAGATCTTTACTTTGCTCACCAATATGTCACATTCTTTAATTGCTTTGCTCTGTTCTTTTATGTTACGTTTTTAAGTAATTTTTTTTTTTTTTTTAAATTCTTTATTTTTCAAGTTTAGGTGATGTATAGGGTGCAGAATAAAGGTAGGGATAGGGTAGTAGTCATATCCAATACTTTTCAGTTTCATTACGTTTCATCAGTGTCATTGTGGTTTATAGCGAGACCTCATGTCAGTACTCTGGGTTGAGTGGTTCGGTTTTTCTTTATGTACGTCTCAGGTAGAGGAAGTCTCTTGGTCATGGGTCTTGTCGTCCTTGCAAGTGGGTGCATGTTTGGTTCCTCTAGTATTGTGTTCGGCAGGTTTGTGTCTCCTTCGGTTTTGTATGGATCTGGGGTTTGGTGTGTTTGTTTTGTGAGTTGGTGTGGTCAGTGGGGGAGTGTTGATGGTCTCTACCTATGGTTGGTTACCATTTTTGAACTGTTGTTGTGGGTCATTTCACGTGTGGTCGATTCTTCTTCGTTTACCTGAGGTTGTTTTCTTATGTGTATCTCTGGCGTTGGTGATTGCGTTTTACGAAATATGGTATTTTATCTTTGGTTGGATGGTTACTCTATTCTTATGATTGTGCCATCACTTGTGAGGTTGGTGTAGGGAAGTGGGTCTGTGTAGGATTATGGGAATTGGGGAGAAGTATGTGAGGCCCCAGTGTGCTATTGGTAAGGGATCTTTTTTGTAGGGGGAGGGGATCGCGTCTCATCCCCGGGTCCTCCGTTCATAGTGCTGGTAGGTGGTGTAAGACCCATGGGTCCCATATCTTATGGTAGTATCATGTAGTAGGGCTGACAAATTGTCCATTTCCATAGTTTCTTGTGTTTTGTTGATCATCGTGGTTAGTGGAGGTGTGTTCTGATTGCCCCATTGTTCTGCTATCGTACGTCTGGTGGCCAGCGCTAGTCTAGCCACCAGTTTATTCTGTGCTCTGGTGAGGGGGGATGGGGTCTAGAGAGCAGCCATATCCAAGGATCTCTGGGTATGTCTATTTCTAATATATTGGAATGCAAGCGTGACCACTCCTTCCCATATTTGTGAGACCTGGGGGCACTCCCACCAGAGGTGGATGTAGGTGCCCTTCTGTCCGCAGCCTTTCCAGCATGTGTCCGTGGTGGCACAGCCCATTTGTTTTAGTCTAAGGGGCGTGAGGTACCATCTGAGCAAGGTTTTGTAAGCCTGTTCTTTATGGTTTGCACATATGGTGAGTGAAGCCGTGGCTTCCCATATGTCCGCCAAGTCTGAGGGGTCTGTGGGGGGGCCTATGTCTCTTTCCCATGCCTTAGTATAGAAAAGAGCGTCCTTTGGGGAATTGGAGTTTAAGAGTAGGTATATGGTTGAGATTTGCCCTTTCTGTATGGGTGCATGGAGGCATGTTTTCTCGAATTGAGTTGGTCTATTAGTGGCAGCTGCTCTATTGTGTGGTTCGTTGAGAAAACTGCGAATATGTATGTAGCGAAAGTGGTCGAATGTGGTCAGGGGTGTCTGTTTGGGGAGGTCTTGGAATGGGCGAAGTTGTTGGCCTTGGAAAAAGTGGAGGAATCGAAATAGTCCGTTATCTTCAAACCTTGTGAAGTCTTTGGGTGTTAGGCCTGGGGGGAATTGCTTGTTTCTCAGAATAGGTGTGAGGGGCGATGGTGTGTTTGTTATGGGGTGTTTTGATGTGATATCGTCCCATATGAGGAAAGATGTTGTTAATGTAGGGGTAGTCTGTGGGGTGGGTGGTCTGTCTTTCTTAGGTAGCCAAAAAAGTAGTGATGGGTGGTCTTGTCCCAGGAGGTCATGCTCCAGGTCTACCCAGAGTTTGAGTTCCAGTGGTGCATGTAGGTGTAGGCCATTTGGGCCGCTTGGTAATAGTGGTAGAAGTTCGGGAGACCCAGGCCTCCCGTTTTTGTGGTTTTGTACATTGTGGATCTTTTAATGCGTGGTCTCCTGTTTGACCATATGAATCTGTCTATGTGTAATTGGAGCATTTTAAAGTTGTGTTTGGAAATGGGTATTGGTAGCGCTTGAAAGAGATAGAGAAATCGGGGGAGGAGATTAATTTTTATTGAGGCTATGCGCCCTAGCCATGATATGGACATATGTCCCCATTTTTGCAGGTCCAGCTGTGCTTGGCGGAGTAACGTTGTGTAATTCAGAGCATATGTTGTGTTCAGATCTGCAGGAAGATACGTTCCTAGGTAATGTATATTGTTCAAGTTGTATATAAATGGGTGGGCTGTTTTTAGTTCTTCCAGAGTGTGTTGTGGTATTGCTATTGGGAGGGCCTCTGTTTTCTCCAGGTTGAGTTTATACCCTGAGAGAGTTGCATATTGTTGCAGGAGTGTTAGTA